GAACCTCAAGTTAAGCAGTTTTCTCCAAGTCTACCAGCTAAGTTTAAGTTACCACTATAACAAGGAAGTGTGCATTGATAAAGGGCATATTACAGCCAAGGTGCTCTATCACATGCATTCATGTATTATCTGTATGAACACAATTAATTAATGAATGCAGCAATCCTGAGTGTATTTAAGATGAGACAGACTTGAGGGAATTAAATACCTCCCAAGGGCATATAGCTTGTAAGTAAGGAAAGATGATATTTGAACCTAAATGTGTCTATCTCTAAAGCCTTGCTCATTTCCATACTCCCTGACTCTGTGGTTTTCTCATTATTCCTCTGACCTTTATCATGATTTATTTTAATTACTATGCATTTTTAAAGCATGTTGAGTCATCATTAAATGTCCTTTTTCCAGTACAATTAATGCCCTTGTAGCATCTTTAAGTACTGTATGACCAGTTGACATTAAAATTTCCAAACTTGATTGATATTTTAACAGCTTATTGAGGTATAACTGAAATACAATAGACACAGATATTTAAGATGCAGTCAGATACATTTTACATGTGTATATACTAGTGAAACCATTGCCACAATTATACGGATGAATATGGATTACTCCCAAAAGTTTTCCTCATTGTCCTTTGTAATCTCTCCTCTTAGTCAACCACTGTCTACTTTCTGTCACTATAGTTGCATTTCCTAGAATTTATATAAACAGAATCATATAATATATACTCTTTTTTTAATCTGGCTTCTTTTCATTTAGCATAATTATTTTGAGGATCATCCACATTGGATATGTCAGTTCTTTTAATTGCTGAGCAGAATTTTGTTGTATGGATATTGCACAGATTGTTTATCCTTTCACCTGATAATGGACATATGAATATGTATATTTAATTTATTAAGAAACTGACAAAATGTTTCTCCAAACAGTGGTAACATTTTACATTTCAATCAATAATGTGCCTGGTTGCCCTACAACTTGTCAATACTTGGTGTGGTTACTCTTTCTAATTTTAGAGATGCTAATGAGTATATAGTAGTATATTATTATAGTTTAATTCGCATTTCTCTATGTAGAACATTTTTCATGTTTATTTACAACTTTGTATCTTCTTTGGTAAAGTGTCTGTTCAGATCTCTTGACTATGTTTTATTGGATTGGTTTCTTTGTATTGAATCCTAAAAGATCATTTTATATTCTACTCACAAATACTTTATTAGATATATTCTTTACATAATTTTCCCCAGCCTGTGATTTTTCTTTTTATTTTTTTACAGTGTCTTTCAAAGAACATAATTTTGATGAAGTTCAACTTACTGATTTTTTTTCTTGTGGTAACTAAGCAATCATTGCCTAACTCCATAATGATTCCAGTGTGGTAACTAAGCAATCATTGCCTAACTCAAGGTCATAAAGACTTTTCCACATTCTTTTCTAGAGGTTTTAATGTTTTAGGTTTTATATTTAAAGCTGTGTTCCAGTCTGAGTTAATCTTTGAATATCAGAAAAAAGAGTCAAAATCCCAACTACTCAGGAAGCTGAGGCAGAAGAATTGCTAAGTTTGAGGCTAGCCTGGACTAGCAAGACCCTGTCTCAAAATGAAAAATAAAAAGGCCTGAGACTATAGCTCAGTGGTAGGGCACTTGGCTAACACACATGCACAAAGTTCTGTGTTCAATCACCACTACTGCCAGGGTCTCACTACATAGCTCAGGCAGGCCTCAAACTCATGATGCTTCTGCCTCAGTCTCCCAAGTGCTGGAATTATAGGTGTACCACCACTGCACCTATCTTCAAACACCTGGCTTGTCCATTATTTTTAAGACTGCTCTTTCTCAATTGAATTGCCTTCACATTTTTCTCAAAACAACCAATTAAGACAGGTGAGTAAATATATATTCTGTAATGTGCTTTTTTTTTTTTCTCCCTTTTCACTATTCTGCAATCTGAACTCCAACGTCTGGCCTTCCTGAATTCCCAGTTCCACCTCCTCAGTTTAACGGGGGCCATTCTGCCTGGGTTTATTCTCTCAGATCTCAGACTAGAAACTTTTTCCAGCAGTAAGATGGGCAGATTCTTCGTTTCCTATCACCAGAGAGTACTATCTATTGCTTGATGTCCAGTATTTTGTAAACTTTTCCTTCATATGCTTTAAACAATTGTTTAATTGTTTCTGGCAGGAAGTTTAAATCTGGCCCCTGATATTTCACATTGCTTAGAAGCAGAAGTCCATTTTCCTGATATTTTTAACATCATCTTTTATAACTACTTGTGTCATATTTAGAATAATGTTCACTGTGATCACTTCTTTGTCCAGATGGATTTCAGAAGTTGTGCTAGTCAGTATTCTATAAGCTGCTGCCTTTTGCTGTTGTGGATGTTAACCAGATTATTTGTCTAAAATCTCTCTGCCTTATAAAAATAATGAAATTATTTATTAAGTCTCCTATGTACCAAGCATGCGTTAGGGGTTTTAACTATATTACCTGTCTTACTTTCCAGTTACTGGGATGAAATACCCAACACCCACAAGTTAAAGGAGAAAACGTTTATTTTAGCTCACAGTTTGTAGAGGTTACAGTCCGTTGTCAGTGGCTCCAAGGCAGGGAAGCATGGTAGGGGGACATGGAAGAGGAGAAACAATCCATGACAGGGCAGGTGAGAGGCTGCCAGCAATAAGCCTTCCTTCCCCTTTTCATTCCTTTCAAACTGCAAGCCTATTAGTTGGTACCACCCACACAGTAGGCCTTCTCATTATCTGTACCCAGAACTATGCTAAGCCAGTCAGTGGACTAATCAAGTTATTGTACACTCTTAATCCAGTCTCACACACCCATGATCAAGCTACCTCCCGCAAGCTGAGCACCTGAGGCTTTGGAGGAGACATTAAGATATAAGCCATAACATTACCTTATTTAATCCTTACAATATCCCTATGAAGAAGTCATTGTCTTCATTGGAAATGTCATTGAAGTTGGGAGGTTAAATAGTGTGCCCAGGACCACACAACAAGTAAATGGCATAATCAGTACTCATACCCAAGTCTGCCAGATCCCAGGGCCCACAGCTTGTGACTTTGTGACAGTGCCACAAATTGATGACACCCATTGGATTTTTTTGCTGAGTACAAGAAGGTGGCTTCTCAGCAAAACTAACTCAAAAAGATTATTCATATCCACTTTCACAGTAAGGGTAAGCATTTTACAACCTCTAAGGAAGGAAAAATATCAGTACAGCTACAAATAATCATTTTGATTGAAGTTCTGTCAAGTGACAGGAAGAAAAAGGGTTGAGAGAGCAGTTGTTAAGAGAGAGGAAGAATGTGATTATAGAGATGCTGGGTCATGAAAACATTGTAACAATTAAGTGAAGAGGGTGGAAAAGGGAAATGGAAGAAGTTATTCTGAGATAATATGCTTTGGAAACCTGCTGGAGCAGTGCAAATGCATGTGGCAGCAACCACTGTTGCTGTCACTGCAGTTTTTCATTCCTCACCATGAGAGTCAAAAAATTAGTTCAAAATAGGAAAATAGGAAAAAGAATGTATAATATCAACCAGTGTTGCCAAGGTAACATGTTTTGGTTGATTCCCAGTGCCAGAGTACAGTACATGTTAACATTCTATATGTTTGGAAACTTGTTCAGCCAACATTTTTATAATATCTATAACCTTTCCTAGAATAAGAAGGCTAAGTATATAAAAAATATGTTTAAAGTTAGTTATATGGTAGTTTCTAGAGTGTTATTCTTATCTTCTATTTGATACAATGTTCTGTTGAAAAACAATAGATTCCTGTCTGAAATTTTAAAGATCAAGATCTTCCAGGCATTGTAACATACTCCTATAATCTCAACACTTGGGAGACTAAGGCAGGACAATTACAAGATCAAGGCCAGACTGGGATGCTTAGGGTGTTCAAGGCCAATATGGACTATGTGGAGAGACTCTGTCTCAGTAAAACTAGTAAAAACTCAGGATTTGAGCCTGTGAAGATAAGGCACAATATTACCTCTGTGAAGAATTTTCAATAATAGTTATAAATGAAAATATTTCAGGGTCTTAGAAACAGTGGCAAGAAATGTGGCTAGGAAAAAAAGTGTAGTTTATTCTTCTGGAACTCCCTCTGTAATTTTATGGTATTTTATTAGGAAAATAGCAGTGAATGGTCTTATCACCCTTGTTGAAAATAATTTATCCGTATATGTGAGGATTTATTTGTGAGCTTTCCGTTTCCTAACTTATTTTTAATGGGGTACTATTTGTCTGAGATGGGCATGTTGGTGTACACCTGTAATCCCATCACTGGGGAGGCTGAGGCGGGGGAATCATTGTGAGTTGGAGGCCAAGCTGGGGTACATACCAAGTTCAAGGCCAGCCTAAGCTACATAGCAGACCCTATCTCAAAAGACAAAACACAGCAACAAAAAAAGATATGTATCTGTAATGTGGATGAAGCATATTTCATTAAAGCATTCCCCTTTTGATGAGTTTGTGTCAGGCTTTTGCCACTACAACCAGTGTTGCAGTAAACATCTTAGAATATAATCATAACATCCTTTTATTTCTCTATGATGGAATCACAAAACTGGCATTACTAGATCTAGTAGTTATTTTATTTTTAGGAAGGTTATTTTCCCAAAGTGATGTATGAATTAACATTTCTACGAGCCACAGATGAAAGCCTGTTTCTCTGCATACTTGGTAGAATATTTTTAATGTTTCCTAATGTGATCAGTTAAAAATGTAAGAAGCCTTTGTCAATATTTAACAATTAAAACTAAAAGGATACTGGAATTATTTCTTATATATTTGAAAGACATTTTACTTTTATTTTTAAATATCCCTTCATAACATGAAAAATGTGAGAACAGGTAATCATGTCTAGAGCAGTAAAACAGGTAAATTGACATTTTGAAACAATCATATTTAAGTGTTTTTCCTGTTTTCAGCCATCTTCTTGAAGTAAGCAAACCAGCCAATGGCTTCTCATTTTTCCTAGCTTAATGCAGATACTGAGAGAGAAGAAGGAGAAGAGTTCGAAGACAACATGGATGTTTTTGATGATAGCAGTTCCAGCCCTTCTGGCACCTTAAGAAATTATCCACTCACCTGCAAAGTGGTTTATTCCTATAAGGTTTGTATTTCTCCAACCTATTGCTTAAATTGTGGCAACTCTGAGGTAACTGTATCTACCCAGCCTCAAATGCTGTGCTTAGCATAAAATTGGCATTCAGCTACTATCAGAGGCAACACGGTATAATGGTGAAGAGTCTCAGCTCTGACATCAGACTGCAAGGGTTAAAATCTTGTCTGTTCTGCTTCTGAGCTGTATGACCTTGCACTAGTCCCTCAGTCTCTGTGAACCTCAGTTTCCTTATCTATATCATAGGCATAGTATTGTAGGGTTAATGTGAAGATTAAATGAGATAATACTTTTATACCAAAGCATTCACCACAGTGCCTGGCATTTTGTGAATTTTCAGGAAATAGAACTGTTACCTTTTGTCTCAGTTGCCTGTTTGGCATTACAGTGACCCCTAAACTTGATATCAAAGGAAAATTGTTTCACAGAACAGTTTTTAAAACTTTACCTTTCTTCATACTAATAAAACTTGCTTCCCACATTAAGTAGGATCTTGGCTTAATAGATGTCAGAATTTCCAAACCTGGTTTGATACAGTATTTCTTAATCTCTCTGACCCATGCCCTGCTTTTCCATTAATTTTTTACTCAGTATAAAATAAACTGAAGTTCCTTTCCCCGGCTCTATTTGTCTGAATTCCCTGTCCAGTCCATCAGCCAATCATATTGAGCCCACTCTGAAATGTACTGAATCTATTCCCTTTCCATCATCTCTCTTGCTACCATCATGGTCCAGGCCATTGTCTTGATGACTTTAGAAGTAGAGGGAAACCTCGCTATCATTTTCCCTCTTTCATAACTTGCCTCTCAACAGTCCGTTTTCTACTCTACAGACACAATTTTCTTTGATGAATAAATGAGATGATTTTATTCCCTTTCCTAAATCTCTTTTTAAGCTTTCCATCACATGTAGAAAAAAATCCATACTCTTCCCTGGGGCCTATCAATGTCCATCGTGATATGGCTGCAGCCCATCTCCCTAGTTTCATGTCAGATTGTTCTCCCCCAACACCCACTAAACTTTACACATTAGCCACTCTGGCTGCTTTTCAGGCTGCAAAAGAGGCAGACTCCTTCCTGACTGCACAGGAAGTGTATTTGCTACCTAGCTACCTAGAATTGTTTTCCTAAATCTCAATTCATTGCCACTTCTCTTCACTGGACTCAGCTCAAATAGTGCCTCCTAAGGTTACCCCTAACCCACATATAACCAACTCCTCAGTCACAACTCTCTACCCTACTGCCATCTTTCGTTTATTGCACAGTAATGTGTCACCTAATGAAAATACATTCTGAGAAATGCAGTGTTGGGTGATGTTGTGATCACAGAATAAGCTTATGCAAATCTAGATGGCACAGCCTGCAACACACCTGGGCTGTATGGTAATGGTGTATTACTTTGTTCTTCAAGCCATGATGAATAAAACACAGAATGAAATCAGACACAAGAGAAAATAATGCAACCAAACAAAAGATGGGGAAGAAAACATGAGATGTACAAGGCTGCTGTCAGCCAGCATACTTTAGTAAACTTTTTTAATAAGTAGGAGTGCATGCTAAAATAATAAAGACAAGTGTGCCTGCTCTTTCTCAGCCTCCTCGTTTGCATCATGATGGATGGATTTGTTCAAGCAGGTCCCAGAAGAAGGTCTTGTTCCTACATGTAAATGGTGGGTCATCTCTGGAAAGCCTTCTAGTTGTTGCAGATTCAGACTTTGACAGCAGAGAACTGGCTTGTGGGAAGTCCAAGGACAGCTCATAAAAGTCCATCCAAAAGACAAAGTATGGAACTGAAGGCAGAAAAGACTGAAGTTATTGGAAATCGCTCTGCCAAGGCATTCCCTGTCAGATATAAAGTGGCGTCATCTGGAGTTCCTGACACTTCCCTCACCTTAAGTGTAGGACACATATTCTAGGATCTATTGAGGGTTCACAGTAAAGCCACACTTACTCATTTCTTCTTTAAGGACAGTGGCTTTGTGCACATTCATACCCCACTAATTACATCTGGTGACTGTGAGGAGGCAGGAGAGCTTTTACAAGTTAAGCCTTCAAGCAAAATAAAGGTACCTAAGGGGAATTTCTTCAGTGTTCCCGCTTTCTTAACTGTCTCAGGACAACTTCACTTAGAAGTGATATCAGATGTATTGTAAGACAGAGCAAAAAAAGAAAGCTGAAAAGGATGTACCTGGAGTCAAATCACAGAGCTTTAACTGAGGTGTTTACCTTCGGTCCAACATTCTGAGCTGAAAATTCTCAGCCTGACACACCTGGCAGAGTTTTATATGGCAGAAGCAGAGATTTATGTTGTTGAGAGCCTTCAAAATTTCATGCAAGTTATGGAGAATCTCTCCAAGGTACAACAATGATTGTTCTCTCAAATTGTCCTGAAGCTGGGCCAGGGATATAGCTCAGTGGCACAAGTGCCTGCCTGGCGAGTACAAGGTCCTGAGTTCGATTCCTGGTACCAAAAAAAAAAAAAAAGAAAAATTCTCCCAAAGATGTTGAACTCTTAACACAAATTCATAGCTCCTGGCCACAAGCATTTCTTACATAGAGGCCAAAGAAATCTTAAAGAAAGCATCCCAGAATTTCACCAGAATTTCACCCAGAATTTCCAGAGTGGGGTGTTAATCTACACACAGAACATGAGAAGTACGTAGGGAAGCAGTGTGGCAACATACCAGTCTCTGTCACTAGTTACCCACTAGCGCTCAAACCGTTCTACATGAGCAGCAATAAAGATGGTCCTCACCACGCAGTTGCTGTTGATCTTCTGGTACCTGTAGTAGGGAGATCTTCGGTGGCAGCCTCAGTGAGGAAAGGTACCATATGCTAGAGCAACAACTGACCAGATCAAGACTTAGGTTCAGTATCTGGACCTTTTGCTGATTTGGATCTGTGCCGCATGGAGGTTTTGGGATGGGATTTGAACGCAACCTATAGTTCATCTTGGGAGTTGACAATATCAAAGGTTTTATCCCTTTTCCAAAGTTTCTTCATTTATGTCTTTTATAACTGAGAGTTTGGTTAATGAATAGTGCCCTGTGACAGAGGCACTCTATATATATATGAATGCTTTTTTGAGTTTTATAAATGTGGAATTCAGTACATAATTGTTCTGCCATAAGATACAACATATGAAAAATAAAAATTATCACTATTTTCTTATAAAGCCAAGGGTTCTGTATGAAAAGTTGATCTCCCCCTGGAAGAGGCACTTACAGGAAGTAGACTTTCAGATCTATTACTTCAGTTAAGAAATAAAGAACTGGGCCAGGTGTGGTGGCACATGCCTGTAATCCCAGCACTCGGGAGGCTGAGGCAGGAGAATCATGGCAAGTTCAAGACCAGCCTGGGCTACAAAGGGAGCTCAAGGCCAGCCTGAACTGCATAGTGTGACCCTATCTCAAAAAGAAAAAAAAAAGAGAGAAAAAGAAAAAAGGAACTAACCAAAACTGTAGTCCCAGCTCCTTGGGGACTGAGGCAGGATCACTTGAGCCCTGGAGTTCCAGGCCAGCCTGAACAACACAGCAACACCCATCTCAAAAAAAAAAAAAAAAGAGAAGATGAAAGGAAAAAATTAAACTAGATAGATAATCTCAAAGACCTCTTCAAACTCCAAGACAAGATGAAATTGTATATTTTGCTTTATCTTTATTCAGATCACTTCCTTCTGTAACTTTTGAGAAACCACAACTAAAAATAAAGCATTGCATCTTTTCTCCCTTGCCACTTAACCTATGATAAGTGCCCATCTTACTCTCAATACGTTATATTAAACTCATCAGAAGAAAATACTCTTTTTTTAGGGCCTTAGTAGATTATTTAAGTTGCTATTCTGAATTGAAATCATCTTTCCTTGGTCTGGGAAGGAATAACATGACATAAAAATAACATAACTATTGATCTTTAATTGTAAAAACTAATGAGGTATTGTATTATTTAAACTCTATGAGAGTTATTCTAGTTATTTTATACTAGATATCTATAACATCTCTAATAGTTAAATAAATTTTAAAATAGAAAAAATAAAATACTGGTAAAAAGTGTACTATATTAAATACATAAACTAGCACCATAGTCATTTATTATCATTATCAAGTACTATATACAGTGCATAATTGTATATGCTATACTTTTACAGCACAGTAGGTTTGTTTGTGTTTGCATCTTCATAAACATGTGATACGTTATGCTACAGTGTCCAGATGGCTACAATGTCATTAGGTTATAGGAATTTTTCATCTTCATCATAATCTATTATAATCTTGTGGGATCGTTGCATATGTGTGTAATCCATTGCTGACCAAATGTTCTGCAGTAACTTTTTAGTTCTTATTACTGGTACTAGCCAAATTTAATCATACTTGTTTTCATATTTCTTTGTCTGGCTGCCACTGAAGGTCCATGAAAACAAAAACCTTACGTCTGTGTACCTCTTCTGTGTGTATTGAGCACTTGCAACAGTGCATGGTGCACTGTAGGTCTTCAATAAGTAATTATAGAATGAATAATATAAGGAAGACAGGAACAAATGAATCCTTCTCTGGCTCACATCTGGATGGAGACAGCAGTAGGAAAGAATAATGCTAAGAGATAACAGTCATCATACACTGGAGAGCCTCACTCCCACTGCCATCTGTAGCCAAAAGTTGGTAGTAGTTATTCCTCTATATCAGTGGTTTCCAGGCTTTCTTTTTAACACCCTTTTATTATTTTTAAATTTGTAATATTTCTTGTTTTCTAAAAGGCTTAGAAATTTTTTCCAATGTACATTGTTTTAATTATCTCCTTAAAATTTGAAATCATAATTAAGAAACTTGAAATGTCACCTCTTACTATTACATTTACTTAAAAGTTCCAGAATTAAAATTTAATGCCCTTAAGTGGAGAGCCCTAAGTGTCTGACCAAATGTTGTTATGCAGTGCATAACTGTATAGTTCTTATTACCAGCGAAACTTAATCTTTTTTTCAAATTTCTTTGGTTCCCCACTAAAGCTCCATGAAAGCAGCATGATTTTAAACACCTCACATTCACTCAGTGTTCTCTCCATTGGCATATCCTAGACATATCCCTATGGTTAATCAGATCATAAAAATCTCCATAGTTAATCCTTAAACCAATATGTATCCAATATGTGTTAACTTTTAAGAGGCAAGAATGAACATGACATTATCCCTGCCTTCCAGGAACAGATAGTCTTGGCATAAATATTAATCTGAAAAATACAACTTGTATGAAAAGATTTATAGTGAAGGTAAAGTCACTAATTCTACTTATGATAGTTGGGAGGATTTTTACAGATAGGGTAGAATTTAAATTAGATTATAAATAAGACCTTCCTAGATACAGTGAGTGGGTAGGGAGGGGAAGGAGCCTTTTAAGCAAAGAATAGCAGATACAGAGACAGTGAGATGACAATGCAGGGTGTGTGGGACAGGTTACCTTCAGTGCTATGGGAGTACCCAGAGGGAGGATAGAGGAACAGACTTAAAGGTGTTTGCTGCCAGACAGTAAAGGGCCTTGTGTACCAGCCTCATAAGTTTGTTTTCTGTCCTGGCTTGGGGGAGCCACTGGGTACCCTAAAACAGATTGGACTTTTAAGAAGGTAACCCTGAGCCATGTATGGTGGTGCATGCCTGTAATCCCAGCACTCATGAGGTTGAGGCAGGAGGATTGCCATGAGTTCAAGGCAACCCTGGGCTACATAGTGAGTTCAGGACCAGCCTGAACTATATAGCAAGACCCTGTCTCAAAACACAAAACCAAAAAATAAAAAAATAAAAAAAAAAAGATAACCCTGGTCATGATGTAGAGCCAGATGTGTTCAAATGTTTAGCTTGCCTGGGCCTCACTGAGTGAAGAGGAGTTGTTTCAGGCCTCATACAAAATATATAATATAGTTATTATATGTAAGTAACAAAAGTTCCTTGTTTATATATTTTTTTGTTATAACATTTACGCACACCTGTAATCCTGGCACTTGGGAGGCTGAAACAGGAAGATCACCATGAGTTCAAGGCCAGCCTGAACTATAGTACATAGCAGAACCCTGTCTGAAAAACCCCCACAAAGCAATTTTTTTTTTAAAAAAAGAGGACAAGCAGTCCATGGGCCACAGGTTGGAAACACCTGGTGAACATCCTATGGGGAACAGATTAAAATAGAGAGATTATTTTAATGGGCACAGTGGCATCCACCTTTAGTCCCAGCTACTCAGGAGGCTAAGGAGAGAGAATCACTTGAGCCCAAGAGTTGGAGGCCAGCCTTGGTAGCAGAGGGAGAAATGCTTTTAAAAAAAAAAAAAAAAGCAGAGATTGACTTGAACCCTTACCATGATTTCTATTCCTGCCAGTGAGGACAAACCTCTTAGAGCTTTCAGTGATACAAACAGCTCACTGCAGCACACATGCTGTGGGTTTGCCACCTAGGTTTGTCTAGACCAACAAAGAAAACCTAGATGATCTGATGAGAACAAAGAAAAGCTATATTTAATGGGTAGACTCAGAAGCCTTAAAAATGTTCATTAAACTTTTTAAAAAGTTCATAACTTTCAATCTTATTAGTATGCACTCTAAAGAAATGAACCACAGTGTAGAAAATGTTTTTTTCAGGGATAGGAGTTTAGCTCAGCAGTAGGTAGAGTACTTATAAAATATGAGCCAGGTCTTGGGTTTGATCCTTAGCACTGCAAAGAAAAAAAAACCATCTTACTACTATACTACTTTATAATATCTTGGTATTGACCATCCAAGAAGGAAATAAATTATCTATTCATATAATATAACCACAACATATAATACTATTATGAATGAGACTCAAATTTACATTACTAAGAATTTTTATGTAGGAAGAAACAATAGCAAATTTTTTAAAAGGATACCAAATTTTATGTACCTTCAGCTCTCAATTACACATGTTTTTCAGCTTTTCTATAGTGAACATATATTACTTTTGTAATCTGGAAAATCATTTTGCTTTAAAGAAAATGCAGGAAATTTGAAGAGATGTAGACAGGAATAGATTGTGTCACTGGAGGTTAGGAAGTAGATGTGTATATGGGAGGTAAAAATGTGTATATTTAATAGCCACTTGCTGAGCAATTGCTGTCTTTAGTTGGGATGTGTGAGAGGAAGTAGTCTGTGCCTTGAATAAGTCATTCCAATGGAGAGTGCACAGGACAAGCAGCTAGAATGCCACTGCAGTCAGTGTGAGAGGGATGCACAAAGCCGTATAGCAACAAAAGGAAGAGGAAGCAATTAGCTTAACATGAGTGATCTGGGGAAATATATGAGCTGAGCCACAAGTCATTAAAATCAATAATGGCTACTATTTCTTTATTTCCAAGCTCTTCAATAACCCTACAAGGAAGATAGTATCAAACAACTCATCTATGGCAGTCTTGTGCCCTTTTCTAGACTCTAGAATTCCTCATTGATCAAAATAGACAAAAATCTCTGCCTTCGTAGAGTTTACATATGGTAGGAAAAAAAAAGAAAAAAATGGAGACTCAGAGGTATACAGTTGCTTGCCCAGAGAAACAGACTGAAGCCGGACTTACACCCACAGTAATCTGACTTGCTCATCAGGTAGGAAGGACAGAGCAGAGCGTGCCAGACTGAAGGAACAGCTCGGTAGAAGCACAGAGGCAAGGAAGAGCAGGGTGTCCTCAGTGAACATCCTCTTGAGGCCCAGAGGACCAAATCTGTAGGTCTTGCTTGCCAGGTAAAGGTCAGCCTGGTTAAATGGAACAGTGGTCATCAGTGAGGAGGGACAGCGCAGTCACACTGGTGCCTGCTTCTGTTGAACAAGGTACACAGTGTACATGAACCCTCTGACCGTCTCACAGGGGCAGCAACATATTAAAGGGTGCTGTGGTCCCTCCTGCTTTGCTCTCAGCACACATTAAAGTCTAGCTGTTTCATACTTTGTCTTGCCATATAATTAGAAATACATGTTTATTACAAGGATTCATTTTGCTGGTATATTCAAGGCAGTGTGGTTAAAGAGTAACAAAGAAATTCCATTGGAAAAGTATATCAAGAGTGGTGTTTTCCCCTCATGTTTTTAGGTCAGAGGTAATTTACTTAAATTTGTTCCTGGAGTATTCTCTAGTTTGTCTTGGTCATCCATTTTCAGAACAGTACCTTTTTGTGTCAAGGAGCTATGAAAATATCCAGAATCTGGGTTTTGACAAAATGTTTTAATATTTGTGAAGTAACAAATGGGTCTTAGGAAGTGACTTACTTTCTTGCCTTCTTTTTTGCTTATATAATTGGGAGATATTTTACACTTTCACATTTGAGATTTCAAAAACTGTGGTTTGAGTTGATAGTTTTAATTGAACTTAGGACTTACAAAAAAATGTTAAGACTATTTACTGGAGACCCAGAAAAAGCCAGCAAACCCCCTGCCTGTTGCATGTGACAGGCAAGGCTCTTTAGGAAGCAGATCTCTGTGGGCTGCTGAAGAGCTTCCTCAGAGCTGGTGGCTGGTGCTCTCAGAGTAATAAAACAAGCTGTACACAGCTTGTACAGAAACATCCAAGGGGAATTGACCCAAGCTCCACACTGAAGTTGAAGCATAATCCAAACCTTGACTGATCTCAGTCATCCCTTTCCCACAATTTTCTTCTTTTAGCCACTGTTCTGTAGCAGTTCCAGATCAGGTGTAGGCACTGCTCAAGCTACCATCCAATCCACATACATAGTTCTTTATTTTTCCACAGCATGACCTCCATGGTAGCCCTCTGGTAGTTTCATTTCAGTGCCTTCTCCTCTGCCTGTGCTTCCCAAGTCACCATGGTTCTGTGCTTACTCATCCCATTTTGACTCCCCCATCCTCCAGAGAATGGCAGGATTGTCATTTTGAAGGATTGGAGGCATCAAGTTGAGTAAATTACTAAAGTGAACATAAGCTGGTCCTCTCCTTCCAGTATCTTGCTCCCTTCACTGAACCTGGTGGCCTCTTGAGGATCCAGTTTCTGTTGCAGTTTTATTTTGTTCAGTTTTTTTAAAGTAAAACTTCACCTCATTATGATAGTTTTACAGCATTAAAATTTTTGTTTCTCAAAATCATTTCAGTATTTGATCCCTGGTTTTTGTTACAGCCAACTCACATCTGCTCCTTATCTAACCTTTATAATTTTGTCCATGACCATCCTACATTGCAGGCTTCTCAACCAGATGAGTTGACCATTGAGGAACATGAGGTGTTAGAAGTGATTGAAGATGGAGATATGGAAGACTGGGTAAAGGTATATTCCTTTGCTCATATCACCCCTTCTTGTGACATTTTAGGAGTTTCTTTTGGTTCTTGTTATTCCCCGTTCAGACTGTGTATGTAAACCCTTTTTTTGTCACATGTCTTTCACCAGGCTCGAAATAAAGTTGGCCAAGTGGGTTATGTGCCAGAAAAGTACCTACAGTTTCCCACCTCGAACAGCTTACTGAGCATGCTACAGTCCCTGGCTGCTTTGGATAGTCGATCACATACATCCAGCAATTCTACGGAAGCAGAACTCGTTTCAGGCAGCCTCAACGGAGATGCCAGTGGTAAAGACTGAAACAAGGCACTCTTTATTTGGTCACATTTGACCTAAGCTGTATTACCCAGGAGTAAGCCTTCAGCAGGTTAAAAAGCACTTTGTTTCTATCCTGTGCTGTTTTCCCGTATTTGGTCACATTCGTCCTGTGCAGTAGAACCCTAAAGCTGATCTTCAGTGAGTAAAAACATTACAGCTTTACTCCTGTCCTGTGCGATGGTCTTTGAGTTGTCATGTGAGCCTAGGGGTGGATGCAGAAGCAGTGTAGCTGTAAATGTTCTTAGCAGATTTGTCTCTCTCTTGCTCCCCAGTCTGTTTTGTGAAAGCACTTTATGATTATGAAGGCCAGACGGATGATGAGTTATCGTTTCCTGAGGGAGCAATCATCCGTATCTTGAACAAAGAAAACCAAGATGACGATGGCTTCTGGGAAGGGGAGTTCAGTGGGCGGATTGGAGTCTTCCCATCGGTGCTAGTAGAAGAACTTTCAGCCTCAGAAAATGGTGATACTCCCTGGATGAAAGAGATTCAGGTACGTAAGAAGAAAGTGAGTTGAATTTAAAAATGATTAAACAGAATTACTCCCAAGACGTTTCTTGATCCAGACAAAAGTGTGCTCTTGGGCTGGGGATGTAGCTCAGTGATAGAGTACTTGCCTACTTTAATCCCTGGTATCACTTAAAAAGAAAAATGGTCTGTAATCTCTCTGGCTCACCCTCCCCATTCTAATTCTGGTTACCAGGTATTTACAAAACTGAATTTGGGAAACCAGAGAGTGACTTGTTAGGCCTTTGTGGAATGTGGCCATACTACACCTCCAAATGCCCATATTCTATTCTCTGAATCCATTAACCAAAATCCTAGATTGTGTGTAATATATGAAAGATGGATTTGGTGGAGACAAAGAAGCAAACCATAGAGGAAATGTGTTCTCTGTGGTTAGTTTATGTAGTACAGCTCTCGACTGGTTCCTTCGCTTCATCACTGTCAGAGCCCCTTGCCTAGCCCAGATCCTGCCAGGGCCCCTGCTTTACCGTCAGGTGGCTCTGGTCTTTGCTCATCATAGGGAACTTGCCTTTAGAGGAAATCCCTAATTCAGTCACTTTGGGGATCTGTCATAGCAGGACTTGCATGTAGCAGAATAAGGATCATGCTTGCCAATCTTGTTTGCATAGTAATCATTACCACTTAACCTCATATACAGAACGTAGGGAAGTCACAGTCTCAGCCAGTTATTTTATCTTAACATACAGAAAACACAGCTTGTCTTCATTTTGTTCTTTACTGGGTTTACTGAATTGGCTAATTTGTTACATTTTCAATAGAGTCTCAGAGAATAGTTTCACTCAATTGCTATTAAAGGTAAATTTAAACCAGTAGTATAGTGAGATCTGTGAAAGGAAAATGTGAGGTATTACACAAAACTGGGGTATGGATGTATACATTAAGCCCATTTGCTTCTAATGTGGCTGACAAGTTTTAACAGTTGTAATTTAGCTCCAGAGAGGAATATGTGCTGAGCCCCAGAGAAGCACCCAGCTCTCCTTCCTGAGGCCAAGAGTGCCTAGTAACCTTGCCTCCCTTGCTACAGATCTCTCCTTCCCCAAAGCTGCACATCTCCCTGCCTCCACTGCCGCTGTATGACCAGCCTCCCAGCAGCCCTTACCCTAGCCCAGATAAGAGGAGCTCCCAGTTCTTCCCCCGATCTCCTTCAGCACAAGGTAAGGGGCCTGCAGGGCAGAGTCTAAATGTATTTTCACTTCAGAAACACACCAGTGATTTTATTGCTTAACAGCACAAATAATTGAGCTCCTTTGGTTCTGTCCCTTAGAAAACAACCTTCATGCCGAATCCCCAGGATTCTCACAGGCATCCAGGCAGACTCCTGAGACCTCATATGGCAAACTACGACCGGTAAGTCTCCTGTTCATCAGGGTTATGGACTGCATGGCTCTTCCAAATCAAAAGGGAAAAATTAATGTGTTCCCACATCCATGTGTTGTTACTGATTCTGCCAAGCAAGGGTGAAGGACTTGGGAAGGTAAAATGAGCTATTGAAGGGCTATGAAGTCAACTCACCTTGGAACATTTAGTCTATACTGGAATTTTTCTCACTGAGCCATGGTAGGAGTACACAAGATGATACCTATGCAAGTGAATTTAAATTGTAACAAGTTCTCTGAACATAAACTAGTGTAATTATGAAACAGAAGCAATTTTTTTATCAAGCTGTCTTGATTACTTTTCTCCATTGCTGAGACAAAATACCTGATGCTTAGAATTAAGGAAGGAAAGGTTTATTTAGTTCACAGTTTGTAGAGGTTTGAGTCTATACTCAGCTGGCTCCAAGGCAGAGTGTCACATGGCACAGGGCAACAGTTCGTGGGAGCAGAAAACAGCAGAAGCAATAAGAGCAAATGGGGGAGGAGGAACAGTGAGCAAGCCTCTTTCTCTCCCTTACACTGTATGCAGGCTAGCCACCCTAGGGTGGGTGTAGCACTCACACCCATAACTCCATCATTGAACCATGAATCAATCATAAACTCTAGAAGCCCACCCCATGACTACATGAGACTTCGGCAGAACATCTAGACACAAACCATAACACAAGCATTTATTAAGACCCTATTTTCCGGGCCTGTATTTGTATGAGGAACACTGAGGTGAAATTATATACTTCATGGCGTCAAACAACTTCTGTTCTCTGGGAGAGTATGTTCTGATAAGTAGTTACTTTTGCTCACTCTTCACTCTACTGCTGTCTCAACTTTATCTCAAATTACACTCCAAGGTCATAACTTTCACACTACTTATCCAAAAGATGCTTTGCAAATTTATTTTCCTTGACCCTCTATCAGCATTTGATACCATGCCTTGAACTACTGACTTCACTCATAGATGTACCTGAGTGCCGTGTGAGGCATTAAGCAGGACAGTGTTGCAACTGGTTTTGCACTTAAAGCATTGTTATGGCTGCTAAGTGGGAAGTAGTGCAGGACAGCAGAAGGGACATGGGGGACAATTAGGACCCGGGAGCAGTGGTCCAAGGAGGAGGCAATGGTAGTATGAGCAGGTGGGTGAGACTCAGAAAGGAGAGAAGGAGATTAATTTACTTGCTCTACCCCACTTTTCCGGCTTGCTTTCCATGTCTCTGACCCTTTCATGGACCTTTGCAGGCTTCTCTGCTTCTACTCCTCTCTGCCGATACTTCTTATGGCTCTGTCCTGGGACTGTTTCTCTTGAAGTGGCTGTGAGAACCATTTATGTACCAACAGCTCCCAGATTTTTAAGTTGCTTCCCTGAGCTTCAGACTTGTGGTCATCACATATGTGCCAGAACCCAAAACTCAGCAAAATTATTTAGACACATTCCTTCATACCTGTTGCGTTTCTTGGTGAACAGAACCAACATCCTACCGGTACTCTGGATCCTTCCTGGCACTTCCCATGCCATCTCCCACAAGTAGTCGATTGTAGATCCTGCCAGGTTTATCTCAGAGACAGCTCTCAAAACTTTCTGCTTCTCTGCTTTCACCTTTGGTGCTCTCTCGTTCTGGCTAACTTCAGCTCTCTGTCAGGTGACTGAAAAGGCCTCCTACATTATCTTCCACCACCTTTTTTACAGACATGTACTACCATGCCTGGCCTGAGTTATCTTATTTGTACTCTGGTCCACCTCCAATCCCTACTCCAAAGTGCTACCTGAGTATTTTCACAGATCTGATACTCTTTTGAGACCCACCAAAGACTCCTCTTTACTTATAGAATAAAGACCAGATTTTTTTTTTTTTTTTTTTTTTTTTTTGCTAGTAAACACATTTATTTTTTTGTTTGGTTGATTGCTTTTTGAGACAGTGACTTGCTGTATAGTTTAGGCTGGCCTTGAACTCCTGTATAGTGCAAACTGGCATCAAACTCACCGCAATCTTTCTACCTCAGCTTTCCAAGTGCTAGGATTACAGACGTGCACCACCATGTCCAGAATTTTTTTTTTTTTTAACATGGCTTGGCAAAGTCCTTCACATTTTTTTTTTCTTTTTTTGAGACAGGGTCTCACTATGTATATAATTCAGCCTGGCCTTGAAATCACTGTGTAGTCCAGGCTGGCCTTGAGCTCACAGTGATCCTCCTGCCTCAGCCTCCCACTTGCTGGGATTACAGACATTCACCACCACACCTGGCAGTCCTTCACATCTTAACCTCAGTCTGCCTCATCAACCTCTCTGGCAACTCTCTGGCAACTCTCCTAAGACAGGCTGACATGTTTTTCAGTTCTCTAATCATTTCCCTCTTGCTTGTCAACTTCAGGCCTTGGCTTTGAGAAGGATTTTAAGACTGTTATCACTCTTGTGCTCACAAGGCTTTTGGCCAAAGCAGCAACTTGATCTGTGGGTTTGCCGTGTCATCCAGAGTGGCACTTGCTTTTCCACAGTGAATCTTAGATACAAAGTGCTGGATGCCCATGCCCTTAGTAAGGGATTGATTAGAATTTACAGGTACCCGAGGCCCTGTGTCAGGAAACTTGACTGACACCTCATATTATTGTTCACTGCTCAGGTCCGGGCAGCTCCGCCTCCGCCCACACAGAACCACCGGAGGCCAGCAGAGAAGTTGGAAGATGTGGAGATCACACTGGTGTGATGACGGGTTCGCCCTCCATTACGGCTACAATCAAGGCCAGGCGTGGAGTTTGGCCAGTCTCGTTTTTTAGGCACCTTTGCATGATGATAACTCTTGAACAGAGCAAAACCAAGGAGGGTTCTATGTGACTGGGTGGCCTGGTGGACTTTTCCCACGTTTTGAATATTTTGTGCCTTTTTCGTTGTCATTTTCTATGTCGTCTCTCCTACCGTAGCACAAATTCTAGTGGGCTCCAGCATAGAGGGCAGTAGCCCTCATGCCTAACAGTGGTCCATTTTTACATGAGACTCAAAATCAGGCCTCGTCCCAGGGCACAGTCACAGAATTACTGATCATGTGCATTCGTACAGTATATTACTGTGGCCACAAGGATGTGGCAAAGATCTCATCTTTCTCTAAGTGGCTTTTGCTCATCTGATTAAGTATTAATCAGATCGTGTTGGCTCCAAAAGGAAACAGAAAGAGGGATCAGGAGAGGCTGGCTCCTCCCCGACGTTCATCCCGAGACTGAAAGTGAACCCTTACTGAGAAGAAGTGGACTGCCCTGAATTTAGCACCAGTTACATTAACACGCATCTCTTCTACAACTAACAGGTTTAAAATAACAGTGTCCTTTGTATGACTATTTATGCCATTCATTTAGTGTTAGTGGGGCTAATCTGGAGGGGCTGAACTAATGGCCACATCTTGCCCATCACACAGACTAATAGAAGGGAGGCTGTGGCAGAAAAGGAGCTTCAGATCCGAAGTGAGATCAGGTTTAATGTTCTTTTTGTCTTTGGGTAGTTCTCATCTTAGTTTCTACAGCATATATTTTTCTGACCAATACCCTTTGAACTTGAATGTCTGGATAAATTGAGGACACGTCTGCATCATTGCGCCTGTCTACTGGGGAGGCCCGTAAAATTATTTCATTCCCAAGCCAGCACACTGGCCCAGATAACCAGGTGGTAAACAGGGGAGACCAGCTGTCACTCATGAAAAACACAGCGTTCAAACCCACTTCCCTGTTACTTCCTTTGGAGGAAGATCCTGTGGGCCCATGGAGGAAACCGGCTTCCTGTGAGAAAGGATTAAAGGATGCAAGCTTGTACAAATGCAGGCTGACAAGGACAAAGAGGAGCCTGTTTGTGTCCCAGATTGGTGGCAGGGCTTCTCCATGCCATAGCAGCAGGGCCCAGAGTGGGGCTCTGGCTCTTCACCCCATGGAAGGTGGGGAATGTGTTACCCAGGGACAAAAGGATGTTTGCCAGCTGCTTTTAAAATTTTTGTTGGCCAGGCATGGTGGTGCAGGCCTATAATCCCAGCACTTGGGAGGCTAAGGCAAGGGGATTGTTGTGAGTTCAAGGGAAGCCTAGGCTACATAGTGAGTTCGAGGCCAGTCTGAGCTACATGGTTAGACCCTGTTTCAAACCAACTCTCCAAAATAATTACTAAAATTTTTGATAAGAAATCAGATTTTCAGGCCCAGGGGTATAGCTCAGTGGCACAGCACCTGCCTGGCAAGTGCAAGGTCCTGAGTTCGCTTTCCAGTACCAAAAAACAGAAAAGAAAAAAGAAATCAGATTATCTGAATTTAATCCAAAAAATTCTATTAAGCTTTCGAAATTCTCTCCCTCCCAAGAATCTTTAAAAACTTGAAATACTAACCACATGTCCCCGTGGAGTTTTTGACCAAGAACTGAAGGAATTTTCAGTTAGCCATTTGATCACTTCAGTGACAGTGGTCCTTGCTGAACCTTCTGATTTTGATTTTGTGTTTGTTTTTTGGCATTTCTTAACCTATTGATCTATTTGAGGTCTTTTTATGTTTATCAAACTTATTCTTAAGTTTAAAAACAAAAGGTGTTTTTTAAAAAGATTTTAAAAGTTTCTGATATGTTACAAATCTCTCAAGTGCTTATTAAATTAGAGCAGTTCTTGCCACCCCATTGTGTATCCGCTCTTTAGCTAGCCAAATTGTCCTTGAATTTGGGTTTCCCACAACCTCAGAGAGTTATTTCAAATCTTTTGTTATATTTTAAAATATTTTTTGGAAGAGCTGCTAATTTTATTTTAAAAAACAAAGTTGTAAAAATATGCCTCCTTTTTAAAGAAAAAAATCCCTCCCTCCAGAACATATATCCCAGTGTCACATGCACAGGGCAGGCTCAGAGGGAGCCTCTGTGCACATGCGCTTTCTTTACGGTGGCTGTAAAAAGTTTGTATTTATTATGTATAAAATGTTGAATAATAAAAAAATGGAATTGAATTTTCTAAGTGTCCTTATAAAAGGTTTGGGGTGAATAGGCTGTTCCAGAAGGACCATGCTTTTTCTAAAGATAGGTTCTCCTGGGCCCTCTCAAATCAGTTATCCGATACAGACAGCAAAAAAGTAAATCCACCTGTGGGACATAGTCCCTAACACCACCTATGTGCTAGGTGTGGTATCTTGGGTTCTAGAGATGGAAATAAGTAATGGTCTGTGCTTTCACAGTTCTTTCCTGTCCGTACATAAGGCCAGTGCTGTGAGACCTGCTGAAAGGAAGGGGTAGACAGTGTGCTGGTGAGCTGTGGAGGAAGCTTCAGTTCGCTGTTGGAGAAGTTTGTGGATGTATCCTCAGAGGGTGTGACTGCTGGCTTCCAGGAAGTGGTTATTCTAATCAGCACTAGAGTTTTGACCTGCTCTGGACTTACCTGGGCTGGTTCACCCCTCCTTAGGCAACTGTGGTCCACTGCTCCCGGAGGTCACCATGTTGATGCCAAACTTAGTGTGGACACCCATCAGTCACTTGGCATAGCATACTACAGCCCAGAACTCCTGGACTCAGTTGATGCTCCTACCTCAGCCCCTCGCTAACTGGGAGTATAGCCATACCACCAGGCCCAGCAGGAAGTGGTTTTCTGGTTGCCTCTTCTCCTAAATCTCTACCCTGAGGAGTAAGGAATTGTGTGAAAAGGAATTTTATTGGCCTTAGGGATGGATAAAGGAGTCCTGACTACAGGCTGAGTCTCTCCAGCCTCCAGCCAGCTACGCTAAGGACCGGGTTTAACCTGTTGGGAAAGGGATCCCACGAATTCCTGTTCCCTGGAACTGGGAATGTATGGTATGTATTCATACAGACATCTTTCTGTGCATAAAACCTCTGTGTCTACACCCTGCTTGTTTTCAACTCTCATTCTGGATCAGTTCAGTTGTTCATAGAGGAAGAACATCATACAACAGATCACGTCTTTGAGAATAGACAAAAATACATGGACTTCTTGAGATAGCAAGAAATTCAAACGTTCAAGTCAGTAGACTCATCCATTGGCATGAACCAACCCTCATGCTCCAGGTTGTGATGAACATCCCCAGCTGCTCTGGTCAGTGTCCACACAAGGAGCCGAGCCATAGCTTTTGATCTTAGTTCTAATTATTGTCTGGCCCTTTCTAAGTGGCCTTATGACCAAATCTGGCTGCTTAGAATCTTTGCCTTTATTTTGTTCATTATGAAGTTGTTTTTCAGGACAGAAATTCAGCCAGATTACAGAAATTACAGGTTAAAGGGGGAAGAGCTGAAATTTGTCCTGAACTCTTACAGTTTGACACAGCACTTGTTTCCTCCTAGACCCTTCATGTGTTTGCTTTGTTACTGTTTGATCTACCAAGAACCATGAGACTACCAAAGAGCATCTTACTCCTGGACTATTTTTTCTTGAACCCACAGCCAAAAAAACACACATAGGCCAGGTGTGGTGGCACATGCCTGTAATAGCACTTCGGAGGCTGAGGCAGGAAGATCGCTGTGAGTTTGAGGCCAGCCTGATCTACATATTGAAACCGTCTCAAAATAACAAAGAAAAAAAAGCATAATACTTCTGCCATGTCTGTTTCTGAGAACTCTGGTCTGGGAATATTTTCTTGAAGTGTTTTATCCTGAAACAGAAATGAACCTGTGAGTAGTGTCTACACCCCTTCCACACCGTGTGCCACACCCTCTCCATCACTTGTTCCTGTGAGAGGCAACAAAAGAGCCTGGTGAAAAGATATGTGTGCAAATCCTGAGCCGCCTCCCATCCACTGTGACCGTAGGCTCCACTCATCTCCTGGGCCTTACTTTCCTTGTCCGCAAAGTGCAAATCATAAGGTAATACAAACCCTACAATCCAGGAAGATCGAATAAATAATGTACAGATGAGCCGAAGTTGTTTCTGACTAGCAGGTATACTTCAAAGAGCAAACAGCTGGGCATGGTGGTGCTTGCCTATAATCCCAGCACTTGGGAGGCTGAGGCAGAAGGATCGCCATGAGTTCAAAGCCAGCCTGGGCTACATAGCGAGGGGAAAAAAAATTAAGATTCAAGCCCCATCTGGAAGCAACCAAGGAACATGAAAAGCCCAGAACAAAGGCATCTGTCATTTCTTCCGTGAGGTCTCAGATTCACTATGGCCTGTGCTAGCCATGCCTACTGAACAGCCCCTGATAGAGCTGCGTCAGCTGTAGGGGCCTGAAGCTTTAGGAAGGGATCAATTTCACAAATGAGGCTTAGAAGCCACTACGATTTGCCCAATATCTTTCAAGAGACTGGACTGGACCCAGAACCTAGAATTGATCCTCCAGAACAGGCCAGCCCCTCGGGAGACCCTGAGTCCAGTTCTTGCCAAAGAGAACGAGGGGCTTGGATCCTTTCCCCATTCTGCTGTGTGACCCTAAGCTCCTGCCCCTTCTCCGGGCCTTAGTTCATATATATAGCAAGGGCAAAGTCATTCCAGTCTTCCACTAGGAGCCCAAACTCAGGCAGCCCTTCAGCACCTCAGTATTAAGAATCCTGAGCACTGACTTTTTCTTTTTTTTTTTTTTGTCTTTTTGAGACAGGGTCTACTGTGCAGTTGAGGCTAGCCTTGAGCTCACCAGCCCAGGCTGGTCTCAAACTTGCAATGATCCTCCTGCCTCAGCCTCTCCCAAGTGCTGGGGTTACAGGTGTGTGCCACCAAGCCTGGTGCCCTGAGCACTGACTCTCAACAGCCTGGCACAGTTGCTAGCACTAGACTCCTCTAATGAAGAAACCAGAAGGAGGTCGGCCTGCCTCAACCATGTTCCCCTGTTGGCCTCTCTTCCTCCAGCCCACCTCACTCCCCGGAGAGCCTCAGCCTGTCTCTCACCTTCCAGATCTGCTCCTCCAAAAAGCACCGGCAAATAATGTGTGCTCCCTGGGAGAAGGCAGCTGCACCTCAACAGCTGTGTGGTCAGAGGTGGAAGGAAAGCCGCGGGAGTGGAGGAGCCGCTGTCCCCAGGAGTGAGTCGCATCATTTCCTGGCACCTCTTCTAGATCACCTAAGCAGTCTCCTAACAATCCTGGGAGGTGCAACAAAACCACATACACTGAGGAACTTGCCCCAGTGGTGGAGCCAGTGACAGCCGCCCAGGATCCAAGTTTCCTCCACTCCTGAATATCCTCACTTCAAGGGAAACTAAGCGGCAAAGCTCAGGAGCCAGAATGAGGGACAGAAGATGCAGGGAGGGAAATCAGGTTAGACGCAAAGCAGGAATCACACACACCATGGGGAGGGGCCCTGCAGCCCTGCCCAACTGGGGGCCTGAAGTCTGACATTTTGTGCAGAAAAATGTGTAGTGCAGGCACAGTCCACCCGTGTCAGCTGTGTGATCTTGAATCACCTAATGTCTGAGCCTTGTTTTTCTCATCTGTAAAACCTGACGGCTACATCATGAAGTGGCTGGAACAAGTGACAAGTGCAGAGCGAGGCTGACACATCCTAAATGCTCAGTAATAGTGACTAGCTTTGGTCTTTCAGGCCACCAATCCTGGAGGCCAAGGAATGGTCTGAGCAGAGACTAAGCAGCTGGTGACCCCTGGTGGCCACTGGGAAGCCAGGGCAGGAGGGCTGGAGCAAGGCTGAGGGGAGCAAATTCTTCCTTCTCCGCAAAGGGCAGACAAGCTTAGACTGGAAGAATTTGGGCTCCTGGAACTCTAGACCTGAACTTGCTGTATCCCTGAATAAAAAAATTGATCACTTAAGAAATGTTTCCTGAGGTTTTACTAGGCCAGGCCTGATCCCAGGGAATACTCCCCACCCAGGCCTTTTTCAAGAGCTCCCTGATTTAAAGTGGAGGGAGACAGAAAACCAAGGAGGCCTCCACCCAGCCTGGCCTGTGAGGGTAGGGCTTTCAGTGGGAGAAGCCTGAAGGACAAACAGAACATTCTGGACAGAGAGAAAAGTGTGTGTGTGGCACATGTAGAATAAAAAGCAAATGAAAATGCAGGCCAAGAGTGGCATCTAACGGGCTTTGAATTTCAAGCTAAAGAGCTTTTCCTGAAGGCCGCAGAGGAACTTCAAAGGATTGGCCATAACACCTGAGGAAGTCACTCTGGCTCAGGCAAGGTAGGAGGGAGGGGCGGACTGGGAGGAGACAGAAGTCTAGAAGGCGGCTGGTGGTGGCTTCAGGGAAGAGGAACTTTAGGCACAGCAGCCCCAGGCTCTGCTGCTGTGAGGCACAGAGGTCATGTGCAGGGGAGGTGACAGGCAGCAGGCACTGGGCATGTCATGCAGTGCTCAGGGACTCTTAAGGCCTGAGGGATGGGTGATCTGGGAGCCAACAGGATGTAGATTTTTCTTTCTCTTTTTTTTTTTTTTTTCTTTCGGTAGTAATGGGGATAGAACTCAGAGCCTTCATACTGGCCTATCCCCAGCCTGCCTTTTTGAAATTTTGAGACAGGCTCTAAGTTGCTGAATTGCCCAGGCTGGACCCAAGCTTGTGATCCTCCTGCCTCAGCCTCCCAGAGTGCTGGGATTATAGGCATGTGCCACCACACCCAGGATTTGCTACTTGATCAACACTTGTGTCTCCACAGGCTTGTGCTGAGCTCTAGGCTGCAGAAGTGGGATGCCAGGCCCTGCCCTGTGGGTCCTCATACTTGGGCTCACTGTGGATTAAAAATGTAAGTGAAGCTCCCCGCAGGCCTAACCCATGATGCCCTCCTCTACCCTGAGCTCTGCGTCCGAAGGAGGAACAGGGGCGTGGTTTACTGGCAGGCCCAGTGTCCCAAGTACCCTGACATCACTCTGGCATGAGGACCCTTCCCACCAGGACCCCCTCTGGGATTCCTCCCCTACTCTCTGCAGCTGCAGTCTACCCAGGGTGCCTGAGCAAGAGGTCCATGATGTTGCTTTGGCCTCATGACTAGCCTGGACCAAGGGTCACATCCCCACCCCAAGAGTCACTGCTCTTTGCTGCCTCTGGGCCTCTCTATGCTGTTCTCATGGTTAGAGGGGGACAGTCCCAGGCAGGAAGAAGAGGGTCAAGGCTGGACCTCCCAAACCCCCAGCCCAAAGGTCTCCTTGTACCCTGAATGCTGCAAAGAAGCAAACAGACACAGTTTAGATACAGTTCTTTCCACTTTTGGTAGAGGAAATGAGACGGATTTTTGGGGGGGCGGGAGGATGGTTTTTTTTTTTTTCCAGTACCAGGAATCGAGAGAGAGGGATTTTTAAAAAACTAATTTCCCAAATCCCTACTTTGTTTTTAAACAAACAGGCCAGGTCCTGCCAGGCCTTCTTCCCCATGTGTCTGGAGCCACCCCACCCACGAGCCCAGAGGCTCTGGAGCCCCGTGGAGCAGAGGGAAGCTGTTTGGCTTCAGTTTCAGACCAGCACTGCAGCCCAGGCAAGGGAGTCTTGGCACAACCTAGTGCCAGAGTGCCACCTTCCTGCCCTGGTCCACGCTCACCATGTGGCTCCCGGAGTAGCACCAGGCCACAGCGTTGACAGCAGCACTGAGGAAAGGGAGAGCAGGCTTGGGGCAACCAGCTCTGCAGCCAGGCTCTGCCCCTCCCTGATGGCCCGGGCAGTTTGAGGCTCCTCTCTGAGCCCGTTTCCTCATCTGTAAAATGAGCTCATGGGGCTGTGGTAAGGATGGCTCGGGTCATGAGGGAGCTGGTGCCCTGCGAAGGGCCTTGGTGGAGTGGAAAGTGTGGGTGCATGTCAGACCCTCACTTCAGCTTGGCAGGCCTCGGGGCAGGGCAGGAAAGGGGGTGGCTATGCTCACCAGTGGGGACCCCGAAGAGTGCTCTCCAGTTTCCCAGTGTCCACATCCCAGATGTAAAGGGCTCCATCCCAGGAGCCTGCCACTGCATAGCGTCTGTCAGGACTGCAGTGGCCGCAGCAGAGCAAGAGAAATGGGCTCAGAGGTGAGGACACACAGAGCCAGACAGGGGACCCTCGGCATAGGCATGCTCTCACAGACACACCTGAACACAGCTTTGGTCCAGTCAGAGCCACACTTGAAGCCATCAGCCCTGAGGAGAGATGGGGCCAGGGTCAGAATGTAGGTCCCTGTCAGCCCTGCCTCCCAGCCGAGAGCTCCAAGACCCTCCTGGTTGGGTACCTCTGGAGGGAGCTCCAGGGAGGACCCCGGAGGGCCAGGCACAGGAGAGGTCTAGCCACCCCAGCAAAGGCCACAGGTCAGCAGACACAAGGCTGGTACCTGAACACCTGGCGGATATTGCTGACACGCAGGTCGATGACCTTGAGTGTGTCATCACGGGAACAGCTGAGCAGATGCAGCTGATCATGGCTGAGGCTCAGGGAGGTGACCCGGCTCTGCACAGGGATGACCTGGGTGCAGCAGGGCCCCCTGAAAAGCATCCCAGAGAGGGGGTGAGGAAGAGCTCCCCCTGGCCTGGGCCACTCCTGATAGAAAGAGTCTGGCTGCAGCTACTTTGCCAGCCAACAAAATCCAGGGCCACCCCAGGGCCTGGCTCTCTGGGGCCAAGGTTGCCCACCAAAGCCAGCTGCCTCCAGTGAGGAACTTCAGCAGACTTTGAATTGAGAGCCAGGTAACCCCTGAGTCACTGAAATAAGCTCTAGGAGGAAAGCAATGAAAACATGACAGAGAAGAGTCTCACAGGACAGTCGCTGCAGACCAGACTGCAGACCGGCCTCTGCTTTTGTAAATGGTTCATATCCAACGCCTGGCTCTTCAGTTTAAAAAACTAAATTTTTTCTTTTGATTAAAAAATGGTAGCAAAATGGGAAAAGGTGCTTGTCTATCCTGACTATAAGGCCTAGGCAGAGTCCAGTGCTAGATCAGCTGGTCCTGCAGCCTCCTTTTCTGTCTCCCCTGAGGTACCTCCATGACCCTTCCTGCCATGCCCAGAGAAAGGAACAAGAACTCTAGGACCCTGTCCCCAGGCCTCCAACACCCACCCACAGCCAGTCCTGTCACCTGCTGTCCCAGAACCGGATCTTCTGGTCATTGTGGCCACTAATGATGATGTGGTCCCCACACACCACGTCATTGCAGTAGGAAAGGACATTGATAGTCCTGGAACCTGGGGGCCGATGGGCAGAGAACGGGGTCTCAAGGTTGTCGGGAGCCAGCCCACTGGACATGTGGTGATGCTGAGACCCGGAAGGGACAGTGCCCCCCTAAAACTATGACCAGGTCTCATTCTTCCTCTTCTTCAGCAGCATAAAGCCCGAGGCAGAGAGAAGTAGTGGGGAGACAGAAAAGGAGGGCCTTGGGAGGTTTTGCCCCGAATGCCTATGAATCCCAGAGACAGGGTGAGGCCCCTGGCACCCAGGGGCTGCGGGCTGGTGGGCAGGGGAAGTAGGGCTGGGCCTCACAGTAGGCTCGTCCAAGATCCCACTCCTTCACTGTGCGGTCTCGACTCCCAGTCACCGCCTGGTGCCTCGTCAGCTTGAATTTGGCAGCCGTAACCTTGTCCTTGTGTCCAGACAGTGTCTCCTGCCCCATTCCAAGTATGGATCAAGGGCATGGCCAAGCCCCCATAACCCCCCCCCCCAAATCCAGAGGTGTGACCTTTGACCTCTAGGCTGCCTCCCCATGGGGCCTCACCTTGGAATGTGCCTCCCCCACCTTCCAGAGCTGGGCAGCCTGGTTGTAAGTAGCTGCTAAAACCTGGGAGCCCTAGAGAAATGAGAGAGTGAGCCTGAACCTGCGTCTGGCCAGAGCAACATCCCTCAGGCCAGACAGCTGGGGCAGGGGCTGCTTCAGAGCTCCCCAAGACCCAGGTCACCAAGACAGGCAGGGGAGCTTAGGCCAGGGAGGAGCCCACGGGCCCAGTTCTAGGATAACCACAATATCCACCCTGGCCCCAGGGCCCCACCTGCCTGACAAGGAGATTGGGGAAAGTATGTCAGTGGGGCAAAGCCCTCTCACCGAGGGGTCCATGTCCACACTGGTAATGCTGCCACCAGCTCCCTCGAGGGTCTGGTTGGCCTCCAGGCGTCCTGGGGGAAACAGGACAGGACTAGTGATATGAGATCGTTAAGCTCGTGAAATATAGAAACTGGGATATACAGTGTGAAAATCAGTATTTCCCCAGTTAGCCACAGAATTAGGGCTGGCCTGCAGCCTGGGCAGGAGGCTGCAACTCGCATGTCTGCTGGTAGGGTCCCAGAGGGCAGCTAGTCATGGAAAGGACCAGAAAGAAGGGACTGTCCCTAGGTCCCCCAGTAAGCAAGGCTGGGCCAGCTAGTGACCTGCCTCTTCTAGGAAGCCTCTAGGAGTTGACTGAGTTCCTAACCCAGGGCACAATGCTTGGGACAGTGTGGACAGCCTGTGTCATCTCTGACTTCAAGAAGCTCAAGTGAGGAGGTAGTCTGATGGGCCCAGGTACTTACTCCTCAAAGGCCTGTCCGTACAGGACCTCAGTAGGGAACCCCCACCTCCCCTGGCAGGGACCACCTGAGCTCAGCCCTCCCCATCCTGCAGGCCTGGAATCCAGAAGTGGGAAGCTTCTCCCCGTCTTCAGCACAATGACCCAGAGTCTCGTTCCTACCAAGAGGTTCCTAGCCACTGCCCACAGGAATGCCCCAGGTGGAGCAACACAAGGAAATCCAAGGCCATGGCCCACCCAGGAGCCAGCTGAGGGGGAGTCTGCAGAGAAAGCACTGGGCTGGCCTGCAGACAGGGTGCCTTACCTCCCACGACATTCCAGAGGTGGATGAGGCGGTCAGCCCCGCCAGTGGCCAGGAGGCTGCTGTTAGGGCCAAAACAAACAGCATTGACCTCAGAAAGGTGGGCATCCTGTGGGGCAAGGAGAGGTTGGCGCCTTGGTCTTCCCATAAATGCCTTTTTGTGCCCACTCACAAGCTCTCCTGTGTGTCTGTGGACACACACAGCCTATTACTGGCTTGGTAACCCCACCCCAGGCCCCATCTCTCCCTTAACCTTATTTCAAACTCAGCCAAAGCAGCTCTCCTCACCTCTCCTGGACCCCGCAGCAGCCTCCTCTGCCACCCTACACTCTCCTGTTGGGCCCCCTACTCTCCCAACCTCCTGTCTCCCTCTCCTGTCCACGCCCTCACTGTAAAATTCCTGAGCAGTCTCACCATACGCTGTAGAGCCAAACTTCTGCCCCCACTGAGGGCACAGCCTTGCTTCTCTGGCCCACCTGAGCCATTCCTGATGCCTGTACTCCCAATCACCCCCCACATATGAGGCCCAGCTCTTCCCTTACCAGAACATCCTGAACCTGGACAGGAAGCCGGGCAGCCACACACACAGGGATGCTTTGGTATCGCTGCTCAGGGACACCGCCAATTGAGTGACCTCTCCTCTTTTTAAAACTGCAAGGGTAAGCGTCAGAGGGTATTCAGCAAGGTTTCTGATATGGGTGTTCCAAGATCCCCCGAGGCAGCAACAACAGGAAGCAAACATGGCAGGTGACAGAACATGGTCTCAGGCTACAAGGAGCACGTTCCCCAACCCAGCCCGATCCTGTGCAGATTTGGTGGGCAGGGCACAGAGACAGGCCCAGGATGGGCAGCACTGGAAAATGCAGAGAAATCTCAGAGCTGGGATTTCAGTCTCTGCCTTGTCACTGCGTGGCTCTATGACTGAACAAATCTGTGACAATTTCAGCCTCAGTTTCCCAACTGAGTAAAAATTCCTATACAGACCCAGGCTGGAGCTCTTGGTCCCCTGTGAAGATCTTGGGTGAGAGCACAGCCTTGTGAGGTTCGAAGACAGCTGGGCACAGGTTGGAAATGAAGCCAGATACCCCGCTCCTGACTCTGGGGCCCAACAGACTCACACAGACAGCAGGCACCACATGCACTGACAAACTGAGGCACGGACACAGACAAGCCTCGACTTAGGAAGCTGACGGGGGCTCCAACAGGCCCAGCCCCTTCACACACATGTGCTCACACACTTACTCCAGCAGCCCCTTCACCACATCCACACAGCGGGACAGTGTCAGAGAAGTGGCCGAGGCAGACCTGGGGTAGAACCAGAGAGCTGTGCTGAGGGACAGGCCAGTGGGTGTACAGACAGCATTCATTCGCTCCCTGCATTTCACTGGAAACCAGGAGGCTCCTAACCTCTTAAACATGGAATAAGAACTTGACTTCCTGAAAACCAGGACCCAGATCAACCCAGGAACAGAGAGAGAGATTCGGCAATGAAAGGCTCCTTGAGTCTCCACCGGCATCGTAAGAACTGCCTCACACCCCAGGGGTTCACTACCAAAGGCAGGGAGGGGTGAAGGAGTCCCAGGCTGAGACACCACAAGGCTGGGGGCAGTGGGGAGGGGGTGACCCCAGAAATGCTCAGGAGAAGGTGAGTCCTGGGATATCTTGGCAAATTGGAGCCCATCCTGTCCCCCGTGCCTCATACCCCTCCCCAAGGTTCTTTCACACCAGGGACCTGCAAGGCAAGACTGAGAAAAGACTCCAGACTGGGGAATGATCAGCTCAGCAGGGGACAGTCTCAATGACAGCAAATTAGACCTGGGGGTGCTGGACAGAAGGGCACTCAAGGATGAAAGCCCCAATCAGATCTGAGCAGTGTGGTCCTGTATTTACACACGCTCAGATGCTCATAATCAGGGATGCTCACCCAAGTCCTGGTACGCACACGCACACACCTGTGCGTACACATACACGTGACGGGCACAGCTGAGCCCTGGGCCTTGCCCACAGTCCCCTCCTGGTGATACCCTTCACAACCCTTACACTCCACCCCAGAGTGCTGGGCCTGGGAAGGAGAGACGGGGTGAGCGACACAGATCCCAACTGGCTCCAGGCGCTTGAGGTCAGACCAGCCCTGGCTGTACCCAGTCTCTCCCCAGCCCTCTCAGGAGCTGGCCCCAAGGCCAGAGTAAAATGACAGCTTGGAGCCCAGCTCAGAGCCCTGGGACAGCCACTAGATCCTCACCTGAAGGGCCTCTTCCACTTCTCACAAGCCTCACTCTCCAGGGAGTCCGGCTCACCAGCCAGGGCCAGAGTCTCTGTGCCCTCCCTGATCCCTTTGCCTAGGGAGTCTGGGACCCTAGGAGCAGGAATGAAGCTCAGGAAGGCCAAGGGACCAGGCCAGCCCCTCCCTGCCCCAGCACGGGACACGGTGGAGATAGGGGACGGTGTGGGTGTATGAGTGCCAGGCACACGTGCTGGCTCTGTGGCCGTATCACCTGTGGACGCTGGGACTGTGGTCCTGCACAGGTACAGGCAGGTATAGGGTGCCCAGGTGCAGGTGGGCTTAGGGGCCAAAGGAAAATTGTGGGCAGAAGCCGGAAGACAGACCAGTCCATCCTGGCCTCTCCCCACTCTTACTCGCTGATGCTCACAGTCCGCTTGGCAGCCTTCTTCAGCTCCTGGGACACTCGAGCCTGGTTGGCCCTGCGGAGGGGAAAAGCCTCCTAAAGTCAGGCACACCATGGAGCTTGCCACGAGGTAGAGCACAAGACGCCCTGCCTTCAGGCTGAGGCCAGACTCCGCCCCTTCTCCCTAGAAAGCCTACCTGCTGGCTGGCCTCTTTCAAACAAGGGCAAAGCCCAACTCCTCCCGAGTGTGTGTGAGGGGGAGTGCCGGGGGTGTCCGGAAGGGGCGCTGCCTACTCCCCAAAGGGGCAGGTCTACCCCAAGGGAGCGGTCCGTTCTCTCACCGCTCCCGGCGCTCGAGGCGTAGGTTGCGCTCGGTGGCAGCCCGTGCCTTGAGCTGCACTAGCCCCTCCAGCACGTAGCTGGCCTCCTCCTGGAGCCTGCGCAGCGCCGCCTCCTGGTCCCCGGTGCGCACACGCAGGTCCTCGTAGGCCGCCCGCTGCGCCACGTTCTTCACCCGCTGCTCTTCCACCTGCCGAGCCTGCTGCGCCCGCGCCTCTTGTAGCTGCACCACTCGGGCCTCCAGAGCCGCCAGCCTGCGGGGCGGGGAGGGCGGCAGGTGGATCATCGACCTGTGGCACCCCACCTCATGACTGATAGACCTGCTCTTAGCCACGCAGCCCCCCAGATGGCTACACCACATCTTCAATCAAGCCGAGCCTCCGAGCCCCACCTGGAGTCCTCTGACCCCAATCTCAGGCCAGAGGGCCGTTTATGGACCTGGGGAAAGCTCTGGGCCTAGGTTGGCCCACACACACACCCCTCCGCCTGGGGCGAGGAAGGTCATTCTCTCCGGGTGCCTCACCTGTCTTGCCGCTCCTCCAGCTGCAATTGCTGGGTGCTCAGAGCTGCGCTCTTCTCCACCACCTGGTAGGCCATCTTGGGGGAGAGGGCGCACAGGTGGGCACGGGTGCCTCTGCAGGGCTCACACCAGGCTCCAGGCTCCAGCCTCCAGACCCGCAGCGCTGGGGAGCCTGCTACCCCACATCGCCACCCCTTCCTGACAAGAAACCTGACACCCAGTTAGGTTTAGGAGGCAGTGCTGCAGCCAGCCAGGCATGGTGGCTCATCGTGTGATCCCAGCAACCTGGGAGGCTGAAGCAGAAGGATTGCAAATTCAAGCCCAGCCTGAGCAATGTAGCGACTCTGTAACACTTCATCTCAAAATAAAAGTAATAAAAAGGGCTGGGGATATAGTGCAGAGGTTCTAGGTTCAGTACTCAATACCACAAAGCAAAGCACATACACATAAACTGGGGTAGTCATTTAACCTCCTTGGCAAGAGGAATCTGCTTTTTTCCTCATTGTAAAATGAGAATGGTAGTGCTTACCGCATAGGGTAACACCAATTATGAGAGATACTTCAAATATCAGGAAATGCTTATCTTAGCAAGTACATGTGCCATGCCTTATTCTGAGCATTCTACACATACTAACTCATAATATCCACAATCACATCTTAAGGTAAGCACTACAATTTTCATTTTACTAATGAGGACACTGACAGGTTAGGTGACTTGTCCCACCAAGCACAGGTATCAGAGAGCAGAGGCACACAAGGTTAAGACCAGGACCGGTGTGTGGGAGTACAGGGCCAGACTGAATGGTAGAGTTGCCTACAGCCCAGAAGTGGGGTGCAGGTCATCTCATCAGTACCCCTGCCTCCCACAGCAACCCTTCAGTGGAGAGCCAAGAGCCAGGGAGGCCACAGAGGAGAAGTCTTTTTCCTTCCACCTGCTGCTAAGGGACCAGTGGGAAAGACAGATCCCAGGCAAGGCAGTGCCTGCCAGTGTGGGAAGAGGAACATGAGGCCCACAGACTCTGTGCACCTCTGGCCCAGTAGACAACTGAAGCTGGCGGCTCTTGTTGTTAACCTGGTCCTGGTATTTTCTCACTGGGGCCTGGTAAAGACAGACTGAGCTGACACAACTCCCTATGAAGGGCTGGGGAGGGACCTTACACACACTTACTTTTCTAGCAGGCCGTTATGACACATTTTTTTTACCAGTGAGCAATCTAATCACTACCTCACTTCCTCGCCTGCCATTTGCATTTTTACCATTCAATGCTTTTTATTTGACACCTGTCAAAATTCAAATAATAGAAGTGGAAAATGGATTAGTAGTTACCTCTAATTAAGTATGATTGGGAGGAGGGAGGTGAGGGTGACTAAAAAGAGGCAGCAAGACCTTGTGATGAAATAGTGCTTCATCCCCCTGATGGTTACACAATTCTGCACATGTGATAATGTCACACCATTATCAAGTTGCAAACACAACAGCGGCTCTGGGGAAAGAGGCGCTCCACCGCCCATTTCCACACTGTGCTGGGCAGGTCACCTGGTGTGCTGTGAACACGGACCCTCAGTCTCGTCCTGTGGAAACTCCACAGGGCTAGGTTTTGTCTGTGGCTGCACTCTCTTCCTTGCATGTACCCACTGTTAATACATATTTGTCAATAACTGTTAATATTTATTGAAAGAATGAATGGAGATCACAGGAAGTGAACAGGAAGTTCAAATCAGCTCTACCTCTTGAAGCCTCGGTTTTCTCCTCTGCAACTATGAAGTTTCGGAGGATTAACTGAGATAATCTGCAGTACGGTTCTTACAGGGAGTCAACTCTCGGTGTGGTGTTGGCCAAATTATGGGGGAGATGATAAGTGTACATGTGATGTCAGAAAAGCGGCTGAGCAAGAAAGTCCAGAGCTCAGAAGAGAAGGCTGGGCTGCAAACAGGTCTAGGAGTCAGCAAAGTCAGCAAGTGCTGGCCAGGGAGCCCATCCATCTCCAAGAACTCCCACATTTAAAGGAACAGAGGCAGCGACGAGGAAAGCAGCCAGAGAAGGAAGCTCGGAAGCAAAGGCCACAGAACTGAAAGATTGGGGGAAACAGAAGCCAAGAGAGACCACTCAGACGGGAAGGGCAGTCAGGGCAAGCGGAGGCACCACATGGATACCCCGCCCTTAGGCAGCCTGCGCATGTGTATGAAACATCACGTGGTGCTGGGCCCAGCTGTTGTCTGTGCAAGGGATGAGGAGTGGGCAGGCGGGAGCGGGAGTGAGCAGAGCAAGCTAAACCATCTGGGAGGGAGGACAGGCTGCCAGGCCCCTGCACACCCACTCACTTCCCTGAGATCTCCTCTCCCTCCAGCCACCGCTGGAGCCACTTCCTCCTGGGATGCCACTCTGACCTCCTACCCACACGGGGGCTCATTCTTGCAGCACCGGACTCAGGGAATGTGGCAAACATAGCAAGCGCTTCACACTCGCTGGCGCCTTTGGAAAACTGTATCTCCCTGCCACAGAGTTCTGGATCCTGGCCCTGTCCCCTTCTTGGATCCCTGCCCAGCTTACCTCACCACAGACCAGCCGGAGCCCCTCCTCCTCTTCCTGCCACTTCTCCTTCAGAGTGGCTGGTGATGAGACCCCGGCTGAGTCAGGCCTTGACTCCTCCTCCCTGCCAACCGATCAGAGTGGTGCTCAGGTCCGTAACCACCCCCCACTCACCACAGGGCCCAAAGGCCTCCGGGGGAGCCCCCTGGAAACCTGAAATAAGAGCCATTAACTTTCTCCTGGGGAAGTGGAAGCCAGCAAGCAGCCAAGGAAAAATCAAGTCTCAGAACCGAGCTTCTGTGACTCCTGTGCTCCAGGACTTGGGTTTCCTGGCTAAGGACCCTTCTGAAGCAGCACCGGCCAACTCCGGACCCGACCCATCCCTGGCTCTTGTTTTCACTCCCTCTTTGGCACAGGGAGTAGGACCTTTGCTGTAGGCATTCGGTGAGGAACGGGGACATGCAAAAAGCCTGAGAGGGGGAGGAGCACAGGGTCAGGTGGGGAAGGAACCAGGCAAATGCAGTGAGAGAAGGGTTGGGAGAAAGCAGACTCCAAGGCCCCCCCACCCCTGCAGCAGGGGGGGAAAGGAGGTACCAAGAAGCAAATGAACCCAGCGTAGGTGGCACGGTGGGGGGCGAGGCTGGCAGCTCCAGGTACTGACAGCCCATTACATACACTCACCAGGAGCCCTTGTGGGGGGCAGGCGTGGCCTCACTGGGCTCCAGCTGCAGCTTCTCTGAGAACGTGGCCAGCAGCTCAGCCTTCTCTAGGAGATGGTTGTCTGAGGGTACAAGAGGGTGAGCCTGGGGCAGAGTCGGACACTCCCCAGGAGACCAGTGGCATGCAAGTTACCTCTGGCTGGGAGGGATGCAGGATCCCAGGGATGCTGGGAATGAGGAAGCTACTGGGGACTGTGCTCTGCCCCTTGCCTGAGAGGTATTTGTGCAGCTCCACAGGACTTCCTACCCTAGCATAAGCCTCCTCACAACACTGGAGGGCCTTCTTACAGCTTTGCTCCCACCCCACTCCGGGCCTACCCAGGAAAAAAGGACTACTCTCACAGGGCAGAAGGACCACCACTGCTGGGGACAGGGATGCCTCGAAGGGTACTGCCAGAAGACAGACCTGAGGGAAGGGAGGGGCCTGAAACTGACTCATCCGGCCCATGGCAGGGTTTGGCTCCAGAGCAAAATGACACAAGCAAAAAGCTTCACCCAGGCTGGGTGTGGTGGTACACACCTGTAATCCCAGCAATTGAGAGGCTGAGGGAGGAGGATCACAGTGAGTTCGAGGCCAACCTGGGCTACACAGCGATTCAAGGCCTGCCTGAACTACATAGTGAGGGGCTGGGGATTTAGCTCAGCGGCACAGCACCTGCCTGGTAAGCGCAAGGTCATGAGCTCAGTTCCCGGTACAGGAACCCCCCACACAAAAAAAAGAACTACATAATGAGACTCTGTCTCAGAAAAAAAGCTTCACCTGCATCTGGCCTTCAACAAGTCACTTCCCCTCCAAGGGGAGCCACTAAAGTAATCCTAACTTCCTCAAAGTTGGTGTAAAGTAGTAGGTCAAAATAGAAAGTCCGTGAGCAATTACCCAACAGACCTTCTTAGGTTGGTAGTTTGACCCTGGGACATATACACCCTATCCATGGTCACTTCCTCTTTTCCAGGCTGAGGGTGGTAAGCCCAGGCTGCTTTGCCACCTTCTTTCACCCAGTGCCCAGCTGGCACCTTGACTGAGATCCCTGGGCCTGGCCTAGTCCTCACACAAAACCTCACCTCAGCCCTCAGAGCCCTACACTGCTCAACACCCCCCAATAAATCCAAAGAAGGCCCCATTGTGCCTAATTTACAGATAAGAAACGTGACACTTAGGGGCAAGGGGCTTGAGCTGCCCAAGACCCTAGAGATGACTGGACCTTCCGTGTCTCATTTCAGTCCCTGAATCTCTACAGGCCCTCAGATTTGCAGCTGGGGGCGGGGCGGGGGGCGCGGTATATGTATTCCTTCCTCTAACCAGGAAGTTCCATAACCCATCAGAGCAGTGGAAGAGCCAGGCTGCCTGGAGGTAGGGGGCTGGCTTCCCCGCGCTGATGGGGAAGGATCTGCCTGCACCCGGAAGGTTTCAGAGAAATTTCCCAGGATAAGAGCGCACGTGAATGTGTGAACGTGATGCAGCAGCAGAGACTGGCTAGACTTTCAGCCTCAACCACTCAATCGCAGGTGACCAGAGGCCCTACACACATATGCACACCTGTTGCCACAGCCCTTCCTGACCAGCAGCCCAGAAAGAGCTCTTGGAGAGCCCGACTTCCCAGAGCTCCGCCAGCACCCTCAAGAAATCCGGGAACCTGCTTCTCCCTCGGGCAGGGGTCGGCTGGGCACAGAAGTGCTCCAGGAACCTGCGCGAGATCACTTATCAGTGGCAGAGGCCGAGATTCAGAGTTTCCTCCTTCGCTGGATCTGCTAACAAGTCGCTGCTCTGAACAGTCCTGCCTTCCTCCACTGGCCCACGGGGACCAAAGGGACTAACCAGGCCCTACCCACCCTGGGGTCCTTCGCGGGCGGGGGAGGCACAGGAGACCCTGCAAAGCAACGCTAGAGACAAACTCGTGCCCGCTCGTGGGAGGCGGAGCCAAGCCTTGAGCGGGGGACCTCTCCCCGTCCGGGAGGAGGTTATCAGCGGAGCCTGGATTGGAGGAGGCAGGAATCCTATCCACTAGGAAGTGGGGAGTAGCGGACCGGTTCCAGACACTGGCACAGGGCCTCGGGAGCGAGAAGGCGCTGGGGCCCTCGAGGCGCAGAGCAGCAAGCCAAACCCTCGCCCCGTGCCGGTAGCCTCGTCTCCTCCCAGGCACCTTCAAAGCCCCCCAGGGCGCACTCACAGGCCGGCACCAGCTCCTGAAAGAGCGCCTTTTGCGTGCGATCCCGCTGCCGCAGCTGTCGCACGATGTGGAGTTTCCAGAGGATGGCTGGGGCGCCCAGGACGCTGAGGCCCTCGGACCCCGCCATGGCCGCGGCCTCCCGCCCGCGCGGAGCGCGCTCCCGTCGGGGAAGGCGCGGCCCGGGTGGGCCGGGCGGGGCCTCGCGGACACCCCGTGACGTCACGCGCCGCGCGGGGAATCCCCGGGTGGTACCAAGCGGGCGCGCGGGGAAGCGCTCCACGAGGACGTGGCGAGAGCCGCCTCTGGTCTACGCCCCTGGCCCACCAAGGCGTTCACCTCGGAGGGGCTCCTGTTCGTGTCTGGGGTGATACGAGGGGCCCGGGATTGGAGACTCCGGGGCGGCCTCCCCTTCACCCGCTGGCGCGCTCCGCAGGCGGGGCCTCCAGGCTCGGGTCCTTAACCCCGCAGCGCCCGGCCCGTTTCAAAGAAGATGCTAGCCCGCCACCCGTGCTCCAAACCGGGGTCCTGGAGACCCTGAACCCGGACTCCGAGTGGACACAGACAGCCCGAGGTACATGCAGCCTGACAAAAGCACCAAGGCAGAAGAGACTGAAGGAAAGAGACCTGCTTTCCAGAGATAACGGCATTAAAGCCTGCTTCTGAGGATTAAATCAGAGCTGGCCAGAGGGAGAGAAAAGGGGACTCTGAACTGTGGCAAAACCCAGTCCAGGGGTTCGATGACAGAAAAATTTCCAGCAGGTTCGGAGCTGCAAGAAAAGCCTATGAAGGGATGAGGGTGGAGCAAGGATTAAGGGGCCCAGTAGGTAGCTGGAAACTGTAGGTCCCTAAGAATAAAGGGACGCACTTGGTTTTATTTGGAAAACCCGTGACCCAGAAGAGAGGAAGGGCTTGGTTGCCTGAGGTTGCAAGGAGCGGGTGCTGAGCTGGCCAGAGGCCCAGTATCCTGACTCAGAGCCCAGTGATTCCCATCTCTCAGCAGCCTTGGGGAGCAATCATGGGCTGCCGGGAACTGTAATAAAACTTTCTAAAGGTGCCTGTTCCGAGCGTTGTAGACTCAGGCTGGGGTGAGAAATGAAAGAAGAGAACACACTGGCCCATCCTCACCCTGGGGCACCCTAGGGCAGGCCCAGTAAGTTCTGATCTTCCTGAGTGAAGGGAGAAACTGGTTGTTGTACAGCAGCCTTTCAGGTCCTGCAGGTCACAGGTCCGTTGTGATTCTGGTGCGGATAGGCTACAAGATTTGGAAAGTGTTGAAGCTAGTGATACCCAAGGACAGTGTACCTTGCTCTGCTTTGAAATCACAGTGGACCAGACTCAGCGGTCTGGTTACACAGGCTGATGTTTACACCTTCCTTCAAGTCAGCCTGGTTCTCATGCAGCATCTGCCTTGCCCCTGCCCTCAGTTAAGGCTTCTGTGACACAGTCTGGGGCCTGTAGCCCTACACACCCTTTAACACCAGAGTCATCACACCCTACTATGATCCGTGGGTTCTCCTTGGGACAGTGCCTAGGTCTGGCCTGCCTGTTGAAGGAATATTTCTGTTGAAGGTGGGTGAATTCACCAGAAAGCATGCCCGGGAGAAAGGCATGGTGCTGTGGAGACCCAGGGCCACTTGATATCAGCGATGAATTCACTTTCAGGATTCACTGACTTGCTCGGGTGCTTGGGCTGTGTGCCTTAGAAAATGGCTATGCCCAGCTGTGAAATGTGGCGTGCTGTTTCTCTCAGGTGAAGAGTTATATTGGAAGCAGCTTTTCCTAATTCTTTTTTTACTCATGGGACACTATTTAAATGATTTTGTTTGTTAGTTAGTTTTTGATTTTTTTTTTTTTTTTTTTTTTTTTTTTTTGTAGTACAGGAGATTGAACCTAGGGCCTTCCCACTGAGCTACATCCCCAGTCCATTTTTAATTTTTTTTAATTTTATTTTGAGACAGGGTCTTGCTAAGTCACTAAGTTGCCCAAGCTGGCCTCCAATTTGCAGTCCTCCTACCTCAGCCTCCTACAGCTCTGTGATTACAGCCCTGTGCCACTTGGCCTAACTTTATCATTTTTAAATAGTACATGAAAAAAAAATGATTGACTTTGACTAAATATTTATTTTGATTTAGAACATGAAAGACTGTATCATGAAATTCACTTAAACCAGGTGTGGTGGTACATATCTGTAATCTCAGTATACTCAGGAGACTGATGCAGGCAGATCTTATTTTTGAGGCCAGCATGGACAACTTAACTAGACCTTGTCTCAAAAGTAAAAGAGCTGGGGAGGTAGCTCAGTGGTACAACATTCCTAGGTTCAATCCCAAGTACCACAAAAAAATTTTTTTGATTTAAAATTTTAAATAACAATATATGAAGACAAATTTTTATTTTTTACATTTTACCTGCTCTTCAAGGTATTGCAAATTACTTATGTAAGGAAAAAGTCATTAAATATAGATATTATTATATCATGATTTGGAGACCTAAAGTACTTTAGAATACAGTTTGAAACTTGCACCTTGGGGCTGGGGATTTAGCTCAGCGGCACAGCGCCTGCCTGGCAAGTGCAAGGTCGTAAGTTTGATTCCCGGTACCGGAAAACGCCCCCACAAAAAAAAAAAAAACCTTGCACCTAAGTTAGGTATCTCCTAGAAGCAAGAGAATTCAAAGTTCAAAGTTTTAGTCAAAACAGTGCGGTACTAAGGATAGACATAGCTCAATAGACTAGAATTAAAACCCAGATAAACCCATACCTCTGTGGCCAATTGCTTTTATATAAGAATGCTGTAATGGTTAATTGTCAGTGTCAACTTGACTGGATTAGAGGAACATAGCTAGCTAGTAAAGCATTATTTCTGGGTATGTCTGATAATGTTGATGAAAAAGAGTGTTTTCTCCTCGTCAAGACGCAGTACCAACACCCACAACCTAAGGGAGGAGGAGTTTATCTTAGTGCACAGTTTGTAGAGGTTTCAGTCATTCTGCTATTCCAAGGCAGAATAGCATGGCAGAGGAAAGCTTCTCAGGACATGGCACTTAGGAAGTACAGAGAAGTAAGGGAAGAGCCAGAGAGGGAGATGTGCCTTTTCAGACCACATCCCAGGGACCCACCTTTTCCTACAGACCCCACCCCACCTTCTAAGAGCAAGTGAGGTGACCCACCTGTTCCTACCAGACACCATCTTCTAACAAGTCAGCTACATCCCCCACGCTGTTTTTTAGGCCTTTAGTCTCAGGCTGAGTTACATCATCAGTTCTCTAGACTTTGGACTTGAACAAAGAGTTACACCATTGGTTTCCCCAGTCCTGAGACCTTCAGACTTGAACTGAGCCACATCAATTGCTCCCAGCTTTCAGATAACCTCCTCAGCCTGCATAATCATGGGAACCAGTTCCTCTAAAAAATCCCCTGTCATCTACTTATCTATTTATCTATCTTACTGATTCCGTTTCTCTGGAGAATTAATATAGATGCTAAGCAAACTCAATAGGGAAATTCTCTTCACTTGGTTTTATGACAACTAAATTTCCATATTTCCATATAAAAGAATAAAGTTGGAACCTTACCTCACACCATATTTAAAATTAATTGAAAATGAGCCAAGCCGGTAGTGCACACCTTTGATCCTAGCACTGAGGAGGTTGAGGTAGGAGGATTTCCAAGAGTTTGATACTATCCTGGGCTACATAGTGAGTTTTAGGACATCCTGTACTACATAGTGAGACCCCGTCTCAAAAAAAAAATTAATTCAAGTGGGCATGGTGGCGCACACCTGTAATCCCAGCACTCGGGAGGCTGAGGCAGGAGGATCGTTGTGAGTTCAAGACCAGCCTGGGCTACAAAGTGAGCTCAAGGCCAGCCTGAACTGCATAGTGAGACCCTGTGTCAAAAAAGAAAAAAAATTAATTCAAAATGGATCAAAGACCTAAATAAAAGCTAAAAATATTTAACTTTTAGAAGAGTCAGTGAAGAAAAGAATGACATTAGAATTGGCAGTGAGTGCGTAGATATGACACCTAAAGCACAGGCAATAAAAGGGAAAAAATAAACATAGCTAGGGCATGGTGGTGCACACCTGTAATCCCAGCATTTTGGAAAGCTAAGGCTGGAGATCTCAAGTTCAAGCCCATTCTGGGCAAGTTAGTGAGATCCTGTCTCAAGATAAAAAAATTTAAAAGGATTGGGGGTACATCTTAGTGGGAAGGCCCTAAGTTGTTCAATCTCCAGTAGTAAAAAAAAAAAAAAAAATCACATATATATATGTATAAAATCACACAAACACACACACATACACACACATATGTAAATAACAAACAGGTGTTTGCAAGGATGTAGAGAAAACAAAATTCTAATGCACTACCGGTGGAAGTTTCTCAAAAGGTTAAACATAACAACAACCGTGTGACCACCAGTTCCATTTCTAGGTCCCACAGGGTTCTACAGTAGGGACTTGAACAGATACTTGCACTTGTGTTTACAGCAACATCAGTCACAACAGATGAATGGATATAGGAAATGTGACACACTCGGTGGGGTATTATTCACTTACGAAAAAGAACAAAATTCCTGAGCTAGGTGTGTAGTTTAGAGGTAGCACACGTGCCGAGTATGTGTGAAGCCCTGGACTCAATCCCCGGCACTAAAGAAAAAAAAGGAATAAGGTTCTGCTGCAATATGGATGGACCTTGAAAATGTATGCTGAGTAAAATAAGACATAAAAGGGCAGATATCATATGATTCCACTTGTATTAAATACCTAAAATAGGTAAATTCATGGAGACAGAACTAGCTTACCAGCAGGTAGAGGGTAGGAAGAGAGAGGAATTATTGCTTAATGTTTATAGAATTCCTGTTGGGTAGTAAAAGTGTTAGTGGGAGACTAAAGCAGGAAGATTGCAAGTTTGAGCCCAGTTTAGTATCTTAGTGAGACTCTATCTCAAAAACAAAAACAAAATAAACATTTAGAAAGGGCTTGGGATGTAGCTCAGTGTGAAGGCCCTGGGTTCAATCCCCTGGTACCAGGAGAGGAAGGCTAAAAATAGTAGTGATGCTGTGTAACATTGTGAATGGAAATAACTTCACTGAACTATACACTTCAACATGGTTAAAATGACAATTTTTATGTTACCTATATTTTGACACAATTTTTCTATAAAAACCTGACCAGGCTAGGCATGGTGGCACACACCTATAATCCCAGGAGTCAGGAGGCTGAGGCAAGAGGATCACCAGCCTGGGTTACATAGTGAATTCAAAGCCAGCCTGAAGTGCCTAGCAAGACCCTATCCCACTCCCCACCCCACCCCTCCAAAATAAAAATAAAAACCCAACCCTAAGCCTCAATATCCAGGATCTACATGTGAACCATTAAACCTTAGGCCAGCTTTCTTCGTGGTGTTGATTTATTTAGCCAGACGGCACAGCCCGCTTATGCCCAACTTCCTCTCAGCCAAGGGAGACCAAAGAGCCTGTGGGATGGCCCTGCTTCCAGGCTCTATCTTCAGGTTAATAAAAACAGTAAGAGATCACAGAGTCCCCTAGGTCTGGAAAGGGTTAGAAGGGGTCAAGTGTGGTGAAGAGGCTGATGATTACAGAGCATTTGAATCCAAATCACTGCTCTGGGCTCAGGAATGGAGCCAGCAGCCTAAGGCGGAAGGGATTCCACATGGGGACATTTTAGTCCCCCAACGCTAAAGCTCAGGGTGAAAGGTGGGACACCAAGAGAGCAGAATGTCTATAATTTTTATCCCCTATTTTTGGAGTATAGCAGTATCTGGTAGCAGGGAGCAGACAACACAGTGGGAAAAGGCATCTGACAAGGCCAGTTACAGAAGAGGGTGGGCAGGATAGAGAACCCTTGGTTTGGAAGGGTAGGAAGCAGCAGAGACTGGTTGCCACTTCAAGTCACTAGCTGGGCCCATTCATTCCTCTTGCAATCCTGAACCGCCCTCCTCTGGACTCACCATTTCTCGGTTTCTTCTCTTCTGTGGAATGGGAAATAGCAGCACCTGCCCCAGCCGAGAGATGAATTCTGAGCACTCACCACAGGCACTTTATGGACATAAA